TGTGCCATTGTGCTGGCCAGTCCATGGTCATGACTTCTGGTTTCTGTTTACTTTTTACTCACTCTCCAGGGTATGGAGTGTCTTAATCTGAGCAGGTAATGTGAAAAAGAACAACAACAAAAAAGGTCTAGTGAGAAACTGTTAGCATTTAGTTAATTGACAGAGCATACTGAGGAAGAGGGTATAAAAATCTATAACCTGGGCATCCAAAATACATGTCTTGGTGGTTAAACTTTTTTTTTTTTCCTTTTCCTACTTAGAGCCAATGCAGGCTTTTGGAAAGAAGTCACTCTGAGCTTAAGAAGTGAGGAATTATGCTCCACCTACTTGAGGGTGGTGTAGTTACATAAACTATTTGGAAATTTTCTGCATGAGAGGTTTGTTTATTCTCCCCTATGTACTTATTTATTAGATCACTTATTTGTATGAGTATGTACTCATGGGTACTTATTCTGTACTTCAGTTGTAATCTAATATGAGAACTTCTGACATGTAAAGAGCTTTGAATCATCACTCCTGTTCTTAAAATAAAAAAGGCTGAAAAAAAAAAGGAAATTCAATGACTTTTCATAGACCCATCAAAGAAGTGACATTACAGGGCAACTGCCTCCCCCTAATTTGGAGACACAGGTGAATACAGAGAATCTGGCTAGTTGGAGCAGAAGGTGCTGAAGGCATAGATTGGTAGGTACTTCAAAGGTAATTTTGACAAATCCTGAGTGTGAGTGTGGTCTAGCATGAGAATGAGAAATATTTGGGGGTTCAGTCTTAGGCAGGTCCCACACTTTAAATCCAGCAATCCCAGCAGATTCTCACAGTAAAGATCCAAAAGAGGTCCCCTGGCTCTGGCAGGGGGAGGGGAAAAGTTAACATTGTGAAATAATCCCAGAGCATTCTCCATTATAAAGTTCTCATCTCCAGGAGAAGAGATGTTATTAGAGTCATATCCCACCTAGACGAAGGGTATTCCTCTAACTCCAGGAAGTCAGTTAGCCTTGTGACCTCAGTTCTCTGATGGGTCCAGGTAAAGTGGTTGTTTTCCCAGCTATTTCTTGATGTAAGGATGGGAGTGACACTTTTAAACTTTCTGTATAAGTTGGAGCTGAAAGGAAGCCTCACATAATTTTTACTAATTTGTTAGTTTTCCAATCTCTCTCTACCCATTTAAAGATGTTTTGTCTATCATTTCTACTTGTTCTCACCAGGAGTCTTTGTCCGAATTATCCTATTAGCCATTAGTGGAAGTGGAAATCCAGTCTCTTGGATGGCCAGAATAGGAGATTAGTATCTTTCTCTTGGGACTTATTTTTTTCTCCCTGAAATGTCAAAGGATCCAAACCACTGTGTGGAAAGAATAACAGGCAATTTGACCCATCAAATAGTGCACTACTGTTTATCAGCAGTCAATGCTTCTGTTCTTCATATATTGGATTGTTGTGGGGTAGTCGAATGCAAGGGTCAAGAAAGAATCCTTGAGACTTTGGTGCAAATTCTGAGTTTGAGTAGCACAGGGACAAGACCTGTGGGCAGAAAGAGCTGCACTTCTTGCTGTATGAAGCTGGTGGTTATATCCTTAGTGCTCAAGAGGGAGGGGACATGCAAGGTGTATTAGATCACAAATGTTTCTTAGAATTTCTAGTTGTAAAACTACTTCCACGAGATTTCTCTGGTGCTTATCATTCAGTTTGCTATTAACTATTGATGAATATATATGCAATCATGAGACCCTTTAAGAATGTAGCAACTAGTGCATATTTAGTCCCTATCAGGACTATGCAGGCTCTCAGTCAGCCTTCTAGTCTAAAAGTGACCATTTTTCTGCTTCTATCCCTCATCAAGACTGTGGTCTAAATGGGGTGTCTGTGCCTATTGGATCAGGGCCCCCAAATGTTGGGTGATGATTGGGAGGAAGCCAGTGGCAAGGTGGTTAAAGATTTCAGCTGAGGCAGAACAAAGGAGATAGAAGTTTATTGAACACACTGCAAGGGAGCAGGGGATAGGACAGCTGTGGAGAGGCTGTCTGCAATGAGGCGGTGGATGGGGGCTGTTTTTAAAGGGGTTAGATGAGGAGGTATGGTGATGTATGGAATTCTCCCCTTTTTGGTAATTGTGCTTGACTGTAAATAGCCCATTGGTCAGTTAGGGTCTGTGGATATTTTGAGGTGGGTGGCCTGATAGATCTGTCTGTATTCAGCCAGGTGGTCGCTGTGGGCCCTTTCTACATTCCATTGCTCAAGCCTGTTTGCCTAAAAGCAGCCTCTACAAAGATCACTGTTAAAAACAGGTAAAAGCACATGATCCAGTTCTGCCTTGTCTATAGATAAAACAGAGGCCTGCTATCTTACTCACTCTGTTTTTTTTTTTTTTTTTAAAGATTTTATTTATTTGACAAAGAGAGACACAGTGAGAGAGGGAACACAAGCAGGGGGAGTGGGACACAAACAGGTGGAGTGGGAGAGGGAGAAGCAGGCCTCCCGCGGAGGAGGGAGCCCGATGTGGGGCTCGATCGATCGATCGATCCCAGGACCCTGGGATCATGACCTGAGCTGAAGGCAGATGCTTAACGACTGAGCCACCCAGGCACCCCTCTAACTCACTCTGTTAAAAGAAAGATAATTCCTTGAATTTTAATGGCCTAAATTTCTCAGTCTTGGGCTCTGTGATTTTGTGATTTGTAAGAAATATATGTTTTGGTCACTCAGGTGACCAATATATATTTTTCTTATGTATTTGGTCTTCATCCATGGTTCCCAGCTCACAGCTCCTAAAACCCTTGGAATTTCCTGTGATAAGGGAGATAAACGTCTCTTTTGTTATGTTAATGAGGTAACTTTTGGAAAGCCCTTATGTAATCTAAGGATTGGGGGCTGTTTGCCTGGAGAACCAACCCTATGATTTGAGGGTTAGAACTTTCAGACCCCCCCCCCCACCTCTGGGGAGGGGAGAGGGACTGGAGGCTGAGTCAACAAATGGCCAATGACTTAGTCAGTCATGACTATGTAATGAAATCCCCATAAAAAAGGACTGGGTTCAAATCTCTTCCCAGTTGGTGATCACATGTTGTTGTGGGGAGAGTGTTGTACCTGGAGAGGGCATGGAAGCTCTGTGCCCTAATGATGTGAAAAGTTGGGGTTCAGGAGTGAATGGTCAAGAAAATATTCTTGAGATGTTTTTGGTGCAAAAAAGGTGGTTTTATTAAAGCATGGGGACAGGACCTGTGGGCAGAAAGAGCTGCATTGGGATTGTATGGAGTGGTTGATTATATAGTTTCAAGTTGGGAGGGGATTGAGGAATAGCATATGTCTCTAGGGAATTTGGAAGCAAGGTTTCCAGGACTTTGAGGAGCTAGCTGTTGTTAGGAAAAGTCATTTACTACTGTCTAGTAAAACTTTAGTAATGAGACCCTTCAGATGTGTATCATTGGGCCATATGCTTGAAAGAAGATTGCTAACATACATCCTGGGGCATAGAGAGAAAGGAGGTTTCCAAAGGCATTTTATATGTTAAAGAAGACTTAACAGGATCCTGGAGATCTGGGCTAATGTCAAGCTAAAGTTGCCTTTGTCTCTAGCAAAGTATTAACATCAAGGCAGCTAAGGTCCTGGAGGAAGGTCACTCTGCCTGTCCCAAGTACTTGTCAATGGGCTGTAAGTTATAAGGAAGCTTAATGTTTTTTCTTTTGCCTTTGTTGTCCACATCGCTGACCACATACATTGCCACTTTCCCCACTGCATCTTGTCAGAAGTACAGGTAACAACCTGGACTTGTGACTGGTATCTGAAACCCAAGGAAGGGTCATTGGAACCTCCAGTCTGTATCTGGTTGGTCAGGAGCACAGGTTGGACAGTCTAGGCCTTGCAACAGGCATCTGCAGCAGAGGGTAAAGGCAGTCTTGTAGGACTGAACCCTTAATCTGTGGAATCTGATGCTGTTTCCCTGTAGATAGTGTTAGAATTGGGTTGAATTCTCAGACATGCTGCTGGGTGTGTGTGTGGGGGGAACCCTCTCTCCTCCATCTCTGTGTTGGAATTGGGTCTGGGAACCCTAGAAGAGGCTTCTAAGTTTATTGGCACATGTTAGGCTTTTCTTTCCAAAGTCAGCAATAATGCCATGTGATTAGGTCAGGGGAATTTCCCAAACTCATTCGCATGTCACTTGGGAGCTAAAATTCCACCCTTGCTGGTTTATATTCCGGCATTAAAATAAATAAAAAATAATTTTACCAACTTTCTCTTCTCTCTGTTCACAAACTTGTATCATTTCTCTTATGGGGAAAGATCTACTCTAGACAAATTGCTGACCTTTATACTACCAATGAACTGCAGCACCTTCCTGGGATTTTCTTAATCCACTTGAGAAGTTCAAGTAATGTTGAATGTTAACAAAAAGCGATTGGGATATTCTTCTTAGTGTTTAATGCAAATTAACTCAAGAGTTGTTAAAGAGTTTGTAAAGTGACAAAATAATTCCTATCAAACTCTTGTCTTATAGACAGGAAAATTGCTGCCAACTTTTAAATGGAATTTTCTTTTGTTAATGGAGAAGTGATATATAATTTCATTTAGTTAGGTATCATCCCCCCGCCCCTTTTTTTTGGTCATCTTAATTTCTGTTTTTAAAAGTTAGTAACAAGGTTGAATAGAGAGAAAAGTGTTAAGAGCAGGGACTTTGGAGCCTGACTGCTTGTGTTCTAACCTCACTCTGCAACTTCCTTCCCATTTGACCTTGGGCAAGTTTCTCAACTCTCTTGCCTCATCTGCAAAAATATAAATAACAATTGTACTTGTTTCATAAGGTTGTTAAGCAATTATATGAGTTAATATTTGTGGAATGTTTACAACGCCTGACATATAGTATATGCTGTACAAAACAGGTAAATTAATTTGAATTGTTGTTCCTAGCAATTGGGAGACATGGAATTTTAACCCAGGGCTGTTGCGCTCCAAAGCCTGTGCTCTTTCTGTAATGCCAGTTATAAAACCCTGCCCTTTAAAGTTGGCTCACTTCCTGGACACATTGTTACCCAAACCAAGCACCTTCTGGAAGCCCACTCTCAGCTCCTGGGTCCAGAGGGCATACACCATGGGGTTAAAGGCTGGGGGCGTGACACTGTGTAGCACCTTGAAGAGGGATGATGAGGACTTTTCTTCCTGGCAGCTGGGTGACAGACACAACAATAACAGCTGTGTAGAAAAAGAGAATGAGGATGAGATGGGAGCTGCAGATGCTCAGGGCCTTCCATGTTGCTTCAGCAGAGTTCAGCCTCAGCACTGAGCAAATAATCAAAGCGTAGGAAGCAAACACCAGACCCATGTCACTCCCAACCATAACCCATGCCAAGGCCAACTGGTAAAATCTGTTCACAGTGATGTCATCACAGGCCAGACTGGTGACCCCCAAGTTAGAGCACAGGCAGTGGTCAGTTTCATTCCTGGAGCAGTAGTGTCGCTGGGCAGCCAGGACAGGCACTGGGATGGTCAGCAGGCCATTCCTGAGCACCATGGACAGTGTGGCTTTGATCACAAAAGCCTCAGTGACTATGGAGGGGTACCGAAGGGGGTGACAGATGGCCACATATCTATCGACAGCCATGCAGAGGAAGATGCCTGACTCCATGCCCATGAAAGAGTGGATGGCATAGATCTGAGCAAAGCACTCAGGGAGGCTGATGGCCTTGGCATCAAACCAGAGAATGGCCAGGATCTTGGGCATGATGGTGGTAGCCAGGCCAATGTCCACTATAGCCGAGATACCAAGGAGCCGATACATGGGCTGGTGCAGGGAAGGCTCATGTTGGATGGTGATTAAGATGAGGATGTTGGCACCGAGAGCTAAGAGGTAGAGCAGAGCCAGGGGCAGGGAGAGCCAGTGCTGCCAGGTGTGAATGCCTGGGAGCCCCATGAGGATGAACTCAGACACCTGGAACCTGGAGCTATTGCTTATAGTCAGGGTGGTATCCATATCATGGGATGTCTTCTTCTCAGCATCTATCTGTGAATTAAGGGGAAATAAGAATAGGCTGTGGTAAGCTCAGCTGAGGCTCAAAATTTGTGTATCCTCAGCCCACTTGGACCCTTGAAAGAAGTTTGGATAAGAACAACAGAAGAGCCAAAATAGATTCTAAGATAAAGATTTTAGCAGAATAAAAGTGAAGATTTACTGGCTTTGTTTTTTGGAAATTCTGGGTAGATTTGTGTGTGTGTGTGTGTGTGTGTGTGTGTGTGTGTGTGTGAGGAATGCAGACACACAGCAGAAGACTTGTACATTATAAAGAACCCAAAGCTAGAGGGCAGAAGTGTTTTCTCCACTGTTGGGGATCTTTAGGAGGAGACCATGCAGCCACAGGGAGAACCCTGATCGAGTTTTTCTTTTAAACAGTGCCTGTGGTTGACAAATGATTTCTGACAAAAATCATGTCATTTAATCTTCAACCAACAGGGGTTGTTATTTACATATAAGGATACAGAGGTTGAATGATTTGTCAGATAAGAATCATATGTTGAAAACACTAATAAGTGAGAAAGCTTTAGCAAAATTTTAATCTCTGCCATACTCTAGGAATATCACTTGTTTTCTCTTCTGATTATGAAAGTAATGTTAAGGACTTGCATAAAACTGTATTTTAAAATCATCAATTTTATTTATTTATTTATTTATTTTTAAAGATTTTATTTATTTATTTGACAGAGAGAGACAGCGAGAGCAGGAACACAAGCAGTGGGAGTGGGAGAGGGAGAAGTGGGCTTCCTGCCGAGCAGGGAGCCCCATGTGGGACTCGATCCCAGGACCCTGGGATCATGACCTGAGCCGAAGGCAGATGCTTAACGACTGAGCCACCCAGGTGCCCTAAAATCATCAATTTTAGTAATAGATTTAAGGAGAGAAAATTACCACCAGACTTCCACCACTTTCAGAGTTTTGTGTGGTTGAGAGCTGTAGGCATTTGTCACACACATTTAGACTGTTTCATTTAAGTAATTTCACAGCTCATTTTTGGTCCTTTAAATACTTGGTCCTTCTCATTATCACATTCTCAGTTTTGTTCACTTTTGAACTGTTGCAGACTATTTTCAAGAGTTTGTATCAAAAAGCATACAGGCTTTATGGTTTTGGAAACCTTCAATACCTGAGAATTCTTTTTTATTTTTAACCTTTGTTTGTGAATAATACCTTCCCTTCTGAAATATTTAGGTATCAATATTGCTTTTCCAAATCCCTACCTTTGCTCCATTTGATGATGTTAAGTGTAAGATCAAGGCCAATGAATGACCATGCCATTTATAATTATAATAAACATATAGTACTCATGAAATTGAAAAAGAAAAATAAGAAAAAATAAAACAATAGCACTTTTAGAAAACAAAAAACAGAAGTTAAGAAAAATAACCATAAATCAAAATCCCAACAAGCAAAGGTAATGGTTTTAACATTTTAGAATATTTCATTTTCAGCATTTTTCTTTTCTGAAAGAAAATTTTTTATGAAGTTTCATGTAAGTGGAATTCTTCATCCCGTGCTTTTTCTTAGCATAGTACATATAAATTTCCTGATGCATTGGGAAACTTTATAAACATTTTTTTCAACGGCCACTAAATGATGTCATATGGCTTTTATAACATTTTCCCCAATTTTTGTTTGGTTTTACATACTGCTTACAAATTTTAAAATACATATTATGTATATATTTGGATATATGTATATTGTATCTTACACAATTTTTAAATGTTTTCTTTCTAGGACTTATAAACTTAAATAGAACTCTTTAATGAAGAATTTATGGGTAGTCTCCATGGGAATCTGTGAATTTCTTAAATTTATATGGAAAAATTTGTCTATCTTTACATTATTCTGGGGAGAGGAACTGTTTAGCTTTCATGTAATTCTCAAAATATTCCATTATTCAATCAAAAAACAGTAACAGAAGACCATTCTTCACATAAAATTTTGATCAAGTTTCACTTCCCTTTGACTTTTAATTTTTAATGGTTGACCTTCTGGTTTTGTGATGCAACTTATTTACATGGACTTAGTTTTTCTGCTAAAGAGAGATATGTAAATAAAGTGATTTTGCATGATTAAACAATGGTTTCTACATGTCTTACCAAGCAATTATTATGCCTCTTTGGTAACATAATAAATTTTTATATTTATAAGTTCTATGGAGGGCACTCAATTGTTTCTATTTTTTTTTCTGGTTAATTTTATGCCAATATCAAACTGAGTTAAAAATTTTAGTTTATAATAAATTTAATACACAAGAGGACTATATTCCCTTATTACTTATTCTCTTTAATTTTAAAGTCCTTTTCATGTGTTTATTTTCCAGATTAAACTTGGATTTCCTATATTGAGTTCTAAAATAACAATTTTGTTTGGGATTGTGCTAAATTTGTAGCTTAATTTTGGAAAAAAAAAGTTGACATCCTTATACTATCAAGTCTTCTCATTCATCAAATGTGGATTCTCTCTGCCTTTGTTTAAATCTTTAAAAAATTTTTACTAAAATTTTGTACTTCTGCACTGTTCTTATTATGATTATTAGTATTTTGAGATATTTTGAATGCATATGAGTTTTTTCATTATGTATTCGAATGTGTATTTATGACCTATGGAAATCCAGTGAATTTACCTTTTTTAGTGTTATTATATTGGTTTTTGTTATTTCCTTTTGCCTTCATTCATTTTGCTAAACTTGTGCTACTTTTAAACATTTGGTGAGTTTTTTCTGTATTATCTCAACCAATTAATGGTTGCTGGTAAACCAAATATTTTGGGTTTATTATTTTATAAATTGCAGTTTTATTGTTTTGTTATTTCTGTCTTGTGCATCATCCATTTTGCTAAACTGTTGTCAATTTTTAAATTTTTTCCATTAATGCTCTTTTTCTGATTTTCTATGTATAGCAAAAAGTTGCTTGCTGGGCATCTGGCTGGCTTAGTCCATAGAGCAGGCAACTCTTTTTTTTTTTTTTTTAAGATTTTATTTATTTGACAGAGAGAGAGAGAGATAGCAAGAGCAGGAACACAAGCAAGGGGAGTGGGAGAGGGAGAAACAGGCTTCCCACGGAGCAGGGAGCCTGATGCGGGGCTCGATCTCAGGACGCTGGGATCATGACCTGAGCCGAAGGGAAAAAACTTAACGACTGAGCCCCCAGGCGCCCCAAGCAGGAAACTCTTGATCTCAAGGTTGCAAGTTAGAGTCCCATGTTGGGTGCAGAGATTACTTAAAAATAAAATCTTAAAAAAAAATAGCGCAACAAATACCTTTTTAAAAAAGTTGCTTGCAAACAATGCTATTTTCCCTCTTTACAAATATTAATATATCTTAATCTTTGTTTCATATCTCACTGAAACAGTTGGAAATTCATGATCAATGTAAAATAAGTATGATGGCAAACATTTTCAATTTTTTTGGTTGATTTAATGGGAACTCAGCTTCAGTTTATATTAAATATGAGGTCTTTTAAAAACAGTCATATGTCTTTTTATTGAGTGTAATAAAGCAGTGTTTTGTTTAAAGTTGTTTTTGTTCCAGGAATCTCGGATATAGAATTTATTATTCTAGGCCCATCGATTTATCATTGATTTACTGACAATCCTGGAACTCAGTCTCACTTCTTTCCTGTTTCCTAGTCACAGAACTTAGTCTCTACAAAAGTCAAGAGCCTGAGAGAAGGAGGTACAAATCAAATAAGGAAAGCCATAGAAGGCAAGGATAAGGCATATACTAATCAAATTCAGAGATGAGGAACAGTTTCTTACAGGATGGTGGGAAACGTCCACCCCTCACCTCTCAGGGTACAGGTCATTGACTGGTTTACTTACGACTTCAAGAAGGTCTTGGAAGAGATCTGCAATGCCTTCTGTAGCTGCGTCTGCTCTCCTGGCTTCAGCTGCCTGTGTTCAGCTTTTTGTTGTTCAGAACAGATTCTTGTCCTTGCTTGCCACCCCTGGAGTCTGGGGGTTTTGTATAAATTAGATCTGTGAGATGCCTGATCCTGGTGTGGTGCTCTCTAGGCCCTCCCTACCTTATAACAAGCATCCTGCAGGGGCTTTTTTGGCATTGCAATGGGAATACAACCCAAATGCTCTTAGGGGTTAGTTCACAAGATGTTTGGGTCCATTCAACTCTAATCCCAGTGTGGCCCACCAGACGGCTTTTCACTCCAGGTTCCTCAAGGATTAATTCACTCTTGTCTGATGAATAGTGCTCCTCATTCTAGGAAGGTTTTGAAGTCTCCCTATCTCAAAATATATCTTTATTCTATATCGTTTCTAGAGATTGCCCCTATCTATTTCCTGCATCACAAACATTATGAGTAACCTCTTTATGTTGCTTCCTCATCCTCACCTCCTATAGATTTCTTGTCTTACTTCAATTTAACTTTTGTTTTAGCATCACATAGAAATTGCTCTTGCTAATGACTTCAAGTGCCAAAAATATTGGATATTTTTTAGAATGTAATCTTACCTGAACCCTCTCTACTATTTGTCTGTGTTGATCAGTTCCTTTTTTAGGGCCACTTGCCTCTCTTGTCTTTCATGACGTTGTAATTTTAGTGTTAATTAAACTGGAATAAAAGAGTGATATAGAATTTGTATTCAGATCAAATGTTGCTTAATCAGAGATGCATTCTCTGGTCATTTTATCTAAAATAGGAGTCCTGACTCTATAACTCTCTGCTCTATTTATCTCTATGGCACATATCACGACATGTCATATTATCAAGTCATTTATTTGTATCTCTTTTCTTTTTCACATTAAAATGTAAGCTCCCCAAAAGCATGCTCTTTGTAATTTTTGTTCACTGCTCTGTCCCTGGTACCTAGACCAGTTCCTGGCATATAGTAGATATTTTATGAATATTTGTCAAATAGATGAATGAATATTGAGAAGAGTGAATAGAGAAGCAGTCTAGAGGAATTTCCAAGTGTGATGCTTATGTTTATATACAGTGACA